GACAGTGAGATTCCCTTGATTAGACAGACCAAGTGAGCTGAGTTACGTACTGCTGAGATAGTCTTGCCCGTGAATGGAAGCAAGGTATCAGACAGAAAACGGGCCAGTTTGTAGATAGGTGAGTTGATAGTGGAAACGATGGGCCGAAGTGGAGTGCTTTCTTTATGGATTTTTGGAAGACCATATAATCTGGGTGGTCTAGTAGCAGAAGGTTTTAGGGAGAGCCGTTTGCATGGTTCGATCAGAGAAGTCGAACTGGTAATTATATTGTTGGTTTTTGTAGCCAGGCGGTTGGTAGGATCTTTGTTGATTTTGGTGTAATTGCCATCATTAAGAAGTTCCTGGATTATGTTGTTGTATGTGGTTTTATCAATGATGACAGTAGCATTGCCCTTGTCAGCTGAGAGGATGATGATGTCATCTCTTTTTCAATTTTGTGAGTTCAGAGCGCTCGTCTTTGCTGATGTTACTAATGGGTTTCTTAGCATTTTTAATGATGGTGGCAATTTCAGATATTGCCACGTCTGCCTGGATGTGTCCCAAGCCTTTGAGGGTTACACCTACCTGGGCAATTATATCATCCACTGGGATGTGTTTGGGGGTGACAGGAAAATTCAGCCCTCTAGCTAGTACCGATTTTAGGCTATCGGAGATTGTGCTGCTACTCTGATTGATAACAGTCTTGTTAACATCTATCTTTTTAATGTCTGGTTTCTGGTTTCTTTTTTGACAAGTTATTGACTTTAGCAATAAGGTTAACCTTACATTTGGAGGACATTGTTGCGGCAGAAGAAGCAGTCATGTTATCTACAAGGTTCCAATCAGATGCGGACATTTTATCTGTTAATGTTAAGTGTGATTGTAGGAGACATTTGTCTAAATTATCAAGTTCAAGACGGAGTAGTATTATTCTCTCTGAGATTAGAGAAAGGCTAGCTCTGAGTAAGATCCGTTTGGCGTTAGAAGTGGCAGAAGCAGATGTGAGTGTAAATATGGTCGGTATTACTTTGTTGTCTCGGCATCTCTTCAGAAAGGTGAGAGACTCGATCATGTGAGCCTTCTTGTCTCGTAGTCTGTTAAAGCTCTAACAGATGTGTGAAAACCCTCCCCGTAAAGGTGGTTCAATCTTGATTTGAAGCTTTCGTGACTGCAGGAATCCATACTCTTTGGTTCTTTCGGTAAAGTCACGTAGTTAGAAATAAAATACAATAAAACAAACCGCAACGTTTCGATCGCAACACAAGCGGTCGTCATCAGGCAAAGGGGTGCCTCTAAAGGCAAACTGTTTATAAGGGTTTGGGGATGGGCGTAGCCCAAGTGTATCCTCACAGAAATGCTTAAAAAATCTGCAAACCCATTCCTGGGGGGTCGGAGATTGTATTATCATTCTTTCCCCTAATGATGGTAATAGGTCTGGCGTTGCAAGTTACTTTTTTGATGGAATTGAGCGATTTGTGATCACGGGCCACTGAAGCAGATTCCATCTCCTCAGCAACCCGCGATCACCACCCTTCCTTGCAGCGCCCCACGGCTCTCCGAACCTCCGAGCAAAGGCTGCGGTAAGCCTTATTATCTGACGTGGGATGCTATAGACCAGGGGTCCCCAACCCCCGGGCTGCAAAACGGTACCGGTCCGTGGCCTGTTAGGAACCAGGTCGCACAGCAGGAGGTGAACGGTGAGTCTGCGCGTGGCCCGCCCATTATTTTATTTACCACTTCCGTCCACGCCTCTTTCCCGCACTGAGCATTTGTCTCAGTCACAGTTTTGGTAAGCCTACAAGCTAACCCCTAGTAGTCAAAATGAGTAAAAAACAAACATCGCTGGAGAGCTTCATTGAAAAGGGGGAAAGACCCAATGATGAACCGCCCCCCCCCCCCCCCCCCCCCCCCGGTCCGTGAAAAAATTGTCTTCCACGAAACCGGTCCCTGGTGCTAAAAAGGTTGGGGACCGCTGCTGTAAACGATGAGAGTGGGCCTGTCGCTTTTTCTCAGCCAGCCTGAACACCTCCTCTATCAGCCAGAGTCTGGACCATGTATCCAACGCAGCCATTGCAGCTGCATGAGCCACAGTCCTAAACTTCTTCCATTTCCCCTCGACATCAGGAGTGGGGGACAATGCCAACCCTAGCCGCAAGTGATGATGACATTCTCGCTTGCAACTTTCATCAGCTAGCTGAGACCAGGCCACTATGGGTTTGAATGGGGTCCTGGGTGTACACCCACCACCGGAGTGGAGAAAATGGCAGGCGTTTCTTACAGATGACAAGTCTATGGTCAGTGGGCAGATCAGCTCCACAGCAGGTCTTGGTGTCAAGGGCATGTGCCCGCATCCGCTGTTCCATCACTATATGGTCCAGCAGATGTTCTTGCTTGGACCCGGGCATGCATCCATTATGTTGTGTGGATGCGCCGATGCCACAACAGCGTGTTGGTAATTACAAGCCCCATGGGCTGCACAAAAGTCTAGCAGCTTCCTACCATTGTTATTGAGCTGATCTGCCCCATGCCTTCCAATCACTCCAAAACAGGTGCAAGCATCATGACCAACTCGGGCATTAAAGTCACCCAATAAGATGACTATCCCGAGGGGCCACTTTAGCTAGCACTTGTGACAGGTCATAGAAGGCATCTGACTCATGGACCTTGCCTTCATCCCTCCGCGGATGTTCGTCTTTGGTGGGGGCATAAGTAACCACGACCACCACTCCTCACCTCTGGTTGATGGGAAGGCGAGCCCAAAGTAGCCTGGGGCTTAAAGCTTCCTAAACCTCACCGCAATGCTCCCATGCCCCCTTCATTCTTTTGTTCAGAAGAAGAGCCACTCCCTGTTGTTTGGGAGTCTCCTGCCCCGAGTAGAGGACTGTTCACCCGTCATGGTGGCAGGAGCCAGAGCCGGTCCACCGGACCTCCTGAATACCACAGAGATCCAGGCGGTACTGGTCCAGCTCCCGAAATTCCACATGGCCACCTGGCTTTTTGCTATTTCTCCTGGGGTTTGGCCAGGAAACGTCATGGATGCCTGTTCCCCTGGGGCCTCCGGCACAAGCTTAATTCGATTTTTATTCCGTGGTTTAGTGGTACTTAGATTGAAGGTGGAGGGTTTACCACCCCATGAGGGGAATGGCGAATTGAAATTGGCCCTCCCCCCATGGCACTGCCTCTCTACAGCGTTACCGTCTGGCACAAACCAAGAGGTAGGGGGTTGTTTTGCCAGAGTTATACCCACACACTCTACCACGTGGGTTATACACAAAGATAAAGATCCCCCATATAGCCTTAACAGACTGTAAGGGCAAGTGTTGTTAGCGAGCACCTATGAAGGCCGGAACAGTACACGAGGGGGTGGGTGGCCAGCACCACGCCCGACCGCCTTTGTCTCCCTAATGGTAGTAATTTGAGGCTGAGTCGACCTAGGGGAGGCCCGGGACCGGTTCAGATAATCGTCACTGGTGTTGGCCGTGAGCGGGAATCGAACCCGGGTCGCCAGGTTTATAGCGCAGCGCGCTAACCGCTACACTACACACACATTCTACCACATGAGAGTTATACACACACTCTACCACATGCGAGTTATACACACACACTCTACCACATGAGAGTTATACACACACTCTACCACATGCGAGTTATACACACTCTCTACCACATGTGAGCTATACACACACTCTACCACATGTGAGTTACACACACACTCTACCACATGTGAGTTACACACACTCTACCACATGTGAGTTATACACACACTCTACCACATGCGAGTTATACACACACTCTACCACATGTGAGTTATACACACACTCTACATGTGAGTTATACACACACTCTACCACATGTGAGTTATACACACACTCTACCACATGTGAGTTATACACACACTCTACCACTTGTGAGTTATACACACACACTCTACATGTGAGTTATACACACACACTACCACGTGTGAGTTACACACACACACTACCACATGCGAGTTATACACACACACTCTACCACATGAGAGTTATACACACACTCTACCACATGAGTTATACACACACTCTACCACATGTGAGTTATACACACACTCTACATGTGAGTTATACACACACTCTACCACATGTGAGTTATACACACACTCTACATGTGAGTTATACACACACTCTACATGTGAGTTATACACACACTCTACATGTGAGTTATACACACACTCTACCACATGTGAGTTACACACACTCTACCACATGTGAGTTATACACACACTCTACCACATGCGAGTTATACACACACTCTACCACATGTGAGTTATACACACACTCTACATGTGAGTTATACACACACTCTACCACATGTGAGTTATACACACACTCTACCACATGTGAGTTATACACACACTCTACCACTTGTGAGTTATACACACACACTCTACATGTGAGTTATACACACACACTACCACGTGTGAGTTACACACACACACTACCACATGCGAGTTATACACACACACTCTACCACATGAGAGTTATACACACACTCTACCACATGAGTTATACACACACTCTACCACATGTGAGTTATACACACACTCTACATGTGAGTTATACACACACTCTACCACATGTGAGTTATACACACACTCTACATGTGAGTTATACACACACTCTACATGTGAGTTATACACACACTCTACATGTGAGTTATACACACACTCTACCACATGTGAGTTACACACACACTCTACCACATGTGAGGTATACACACACACTACCACATGTGAGTTATACACACTACCACATGTGAGTTACACACACACTCTACCACATGTGAGTTACACACACACACTACCACATGTGAGTTATACACACACACTACCACGTGTGAGTTACACACACACACTCTACCACATGTGAGTTATACACACACTACCACGTGTGAGTTATACACACACTCTACCACATGTGAGTTATACACACACTCTACCACTTTCACAGCATTCAGCGGACACAGGCACAAGCTCGGGGCGTGCGAGCGGTTAAGAAGTGTTTTTAATTCCAACTTGATACTTGCACAGTTAATAATGTTACCATAGAACAGACACGGACATTTAAAATGTTTTTTTAATCGTATCTATGTGACAATATTACTTTAGCCTTGCACACTTCCAAAACGGCAGAGGGTTGCTCGCTGCACTCAGGCGGAGATGGGCGCGGTGGCAAAGCGAGACGGTGAACACGGAACGGCCCTCGAGGATCTCTCGGCTCGGTTCGATTCCCCCGTCCCACACTCCTGCTCCTCCAATGTGGAGACACTCCCCGTGACTCAACAAACTCTCAAGAGCTAAAGCCATGACAAGAGCAAGCGTGCCCGCTTGCTGCAATGTCCAGCGCACCGGACTTTCAACCCAGAGGAGGGGGTGCCAGTTGGGGCGCATCTCCCGGCGCGGCAGTTTAAATGGCTTCATCTCACCGCGGCCAATGGGCGGTGCGTGTACGCCCCACCTCTTCCAACACAACTGCTCAGCAGCGGAGGTGTATAGAACGAATACTGCACCCTCCTCTCTCGGGCTCTCCCCCGTTCCAGGGAGGCCATTCCAACACCAGCGGGGCGGGAGCCAGCAGACTGCAGGGCTGCGCCTCTGCAGAACCTCAACCCCCGAGTCTCGAGACTCTGGGGGAGCACCCGGGAGAAAACCCCACACACGCGAGGGATTGACACTCACAAGCGCCATTTCCCTTTGCGGCCACCCTTGTGGCTCAAGATGGGGCGTTCCCGTGCACGTGCTTAACCAGGCTCGGGCTCTGCTTAGCTTGCGAGACCGCCTCCAGCCACCAGGTCGGGGGCGACCTGGTGGCAGGAGGCCGGAGCCTGCCACGTGTTGGTTTCACTGCTCACCATCCCCTCCTCCTCCTGTCATCGCTCTTCTTTGTGCGCTAACATCGTCTATGAAATGACCGTGACTTCACCTTCCTCTTATGACCACCGGAGGTCAATTACAGACAGGGGTGCATTTCTTGCTTATTTTTCTGGTACGGGATTAGTGAAACACGCACAACGGGCGATCCGTTTACAGACACCTGCTGCTGCTAACCTCGAGGAATCTGCAAACTAATGGATTGTGCAGGTGGCTGGGATGGACTGCCGTATCCTAAGATGGTGAGAGGGGGAGAGGAGAAGGGGATGGGAGGCAGTGGCTTGGCACGACCTTCATCCCGCAGTGGATTGATGACGGCTTGATGGCGAGGCAATGTTGGAAGGATTTCCATTCCACCGGTTGCTAAACATTGACTCGGCATCTCAGAGCACATCTTGCATCCACATCTCAATCGTCAGCTGTCGTTTATTTTCTCTATTTTCTGGCCTAGGGGATCCCCCACCCCCAGTGGCAGCTGTCCCTGTGCAGCACAAGTCGAGGCCTGCAAGTGGGCAACACAGTGTTCTGTTTGGCAGAATGGGGGCGACGATGTAAACGACACTTTATTTTGGAGCCCCTTTCTTACCTGTCCGCCACCAATACTCAATAAATTTGCGTACCAACGTTCGACCCCTCTGCGAGATAATGGAGCCATCATCGCCTCCACAACATTCACCTATGTTGACGGGAGGCTTAGAGAGAGAGAGAGTGGAAATTGGCGGGGTATCTATAACTGGATTGACCCTGTATATCCGCAACTGGGACACAGCACTTGCACAGTGTCGCATCTCTGTCGCTCTGAGCACTCGTGAGACACGTGCCACGTACTCCAGTCTACCGGCGACCAGCAAAACACTCAGCAAGGAGTTCAAGCCCTGGCTACAGTGCGACCGCACTAACGCTACCGCCCTCAAGCAATCTAACGCAACGCAAAGCGGCGTGGCAATTAACACTGGATCAGGCGCGTCACACACGCACGCGCACACACGCGCAAACACACACGCTACCCACCTCCACAGAAGAGGAGCAGCGGGGTCAGGAAGAGAGAGGAAATGAAATGGGAGGGGCGCGAGACGGAGAGAGATGCCGAGAAGCTGAGCAGGTGAGGGACGAGACAGTGGAGAGGGGCTGAGGTGGGGGGGAGGGCGTGGGAGGGAAGAGGGGGAGGTGGTAGCCGCTCTCCGCCGCGAGTCACGACGTCCGACGTTTTGCTCCACGTGCCGCCGGAAGCTTCTTCAGCGGCGGGAGGCGGATCACCGCCACACTCCGCCCCCGCCCGGCACGAGAAGCAAAACGTCGGGTGGGAAGTTGCGTGAACAGCGCGACCACGGGGACAAGAACCCCCCCCACCACCCCGGTGGTGGTGGGGGGGCTGGGGCGTGGCGGTGGAATGATCGCGACTCGGAAATCGTGCGCACCCGAGGAGCGATGACCGTTTGGCGGAACTCAAGATTGTATGAGGAGAAACGACGAGGAGGAGAGACGGCGAAGAGGTGCGGGTGTGGGAGCGACGACGCGGCCGCAGTCAACGGAGAGAAAGTTCGGAGGCGGCGGCGGCGGCGGCCGTTCCATCTCAGGGATGCGACGACGCGCTGGCCCCTGCCTCGTCGGCCGCCTCCTCCTTCCGCTTTCTCCCGCTGTCGCCGTCGTCGCCGCCGTCGCCGTCGTCAGCGCCGCCGTTGTCGCCGTCGTCGTTAACGTCACCGTGAGAGCCCCCGTCGATCTCCTCCTGCGAGATCACCTCAAAGTCATTGCCGTTGCTCTGGTCGCTGCCTTCGTCGGTCCCTCTCTTCCCGCTCGCCTCGTCATCCTCCTCCTCCTCTTCCTCCTCTTCCTCCTCATCCTCCTCGTAGTCGTCGTCATTGTCAGCCTTGGCCGGCCCGCCTCCGTCGCCGTCGTCGTCGTCGCTGTCCGTGCCGTTGGACGGCCCCAGGGTCTTGGGCACGACGGCCTCGGCGCAGGCCTCCCCCGTCGTTCCGCTCTTCGAGCCGCGTTTGCCGGCGTCGGATTTGGCCGCCGCCGCCGCCGATTCCGGCGGCATTGAAGACGACGCGGCGACGGCGGCGTCGGTGGCGGCGGCGCCGGCGGCTCCGGCGGTCCCGGTCTGCCGCTCGTGCGTGTAGAGCGGACGGAACGAGTCGAGGAAGCCCACGTCGGCGGTGAGGTTGGGCAGCAGCCAGAAGTGGTGGCGGCCGCCCGTCAGCAGCCAGATGAGCATGAAGAGGATGCAGCGCGCTGGGGGACGAGGAGGAGAGAGACACGGGGAGGTGGAAACGGCCGTGAGAGGCCAAGGCGGGGAGGGGGGGCACAAAGGTGGGCACGTGCGGTTAGACGGGTGGACGTGCAGAGAGACGCACGGGCAGGCAGACCAGGAGACGGATAAATGGGCAGGCAGGTAGACAGACAAATAGATGAATGGAGAGATGAACAGAGAGACAGACAGATGCAGATGTGTATCGGAGTACAGTCATACCTCGGTATACGACCGCTTTGGAATACGTCGAATTTGGTATACGTCGTGTTTTGACGAGGAAAACATTTCTTGGGATACGACGTCTTGCTTTGGGATACGATACGCTTGCTAGAACTTGTATGGGGCGGGATAAGTCACCGCGTACCCGCGTACACCCCGTTCACGACTGAAACAAAGCGCCGCTCCTCAGTCTGCCTGTACAGTAGATCTCGTTCAGTGCACAACCCTTGCTATAACTCTCCGTGAATTTTCACGTGTGTTTTGTAATTTTAGTTTATGTATGCATTTTAGTAATAAGTAGTGTCTACATTATGTTATACAACGCTATTAATGTATAATATGCCATATAAAATATAATTTCTTATACTCTGGAATGGATTATTTCCTTTCCCTTTATTTCTTATGGGAAAAATTTGTTTGGTATTCGTCATTTTCGGTCTAAGTCCTACCTCCTGGAACGAATTAACGACGTATACCGAGGTACCACTGTATATGTGTGTAGGTGTACACACGTCTGTTTGTGTGTGTGTGGAGAGCGCTCGTGTAGCGGTTAGCGCTACGCTGCGCTATGAACTCGGCGGCCCGAGTTCAATTCTCGCTCAAGGCCAACACCAGTGACGATTATCTAAACTGGTCCTGGGCCTCCCCTAGGTCGACTCAGCCTCATTTCCTGGTGGGGGGTGTAAAAACATCGCCACTGGGGAGACAAAGGCGGCTGGGCGTGGTGTTGGCCACTCACCCCCTCGTGTGCCGTGTCGGCCTTTATAGGTGCTCGCTAACAGCACTTGCCCCTACAGTCTGTTAAGGCTACACGGGGGATCTTTGTCTTTGTGTAGGCTGGGTGTGCGTGAGGGAGGGACTCACCGACGGCCAGGAAGAGGATGCCTCCGATGAAGCAGCCGGCCGCCACGCTCAGGTAGTACACGCCCACACGCATCTCGGCCGGCCACAGCGGGAACAGCGTCGCCGCAATCACCGCAATCACTGCGCCACACAGCACCACACACACGGCGTACAGACGCAGCACACAGACCCAGCACACAGACGCAGCACACAGACGCAGCACACAGACGCACCACACAGCCCACAGACGCAGCAAACACAACTACAGCACACTCAACACACACGGACGTATGTGTTATATGCAAGTTGAACTTCTTTCACACCGTACGTAGCCAACCGTGTTAATCGAAGGCGCGCATACAACTACAGAGCACAGCATATACCACTGCAGCAAAGACACACAAATACAGCACTCTTACGGACACAACGCACGCAAAGAATGCTCATTTGAGGCCGAGTTGACCTAGGGGACGCACCCAAGATGAGCCCCATGATGAACGTCTTGGGGTGAACGGGGTCGTAGATCCACACGAAAACCTGCGGGAGGCGCGGGGGGGAAGAACACGGCGGGGAAATCAGCACCCGCTCACGGGAGGAGGTGCGTGGTGTGATGAGGTGGGAGACATAGGGAGGGGGTGCGTGGTGTGACGAGGTGGGAGAGGCAGGGAGGGGTTGCGTGGTGTGAAGAGGGAGAGAGTGGGCGGGCTCTCACCTCGTTGCCGTCGATGAAGATTTGCTTGTCGTGGGGCTCAAGTTTCATCCTCCTCTTTGCATCTTTCTTCTTCTTTGGGCTGCCCGGCTCATCCTCCTTCATGCACAGGGCACCCAGACGTCGACTCAACAGCGGCCAAGTCACACCGGTCCATGCATAAATAACGACACTCAACTCATAAATATTCCCACTCCATTCATAAGTACCGAGTTAAAGCTTTCGTGACTGCAGGAATTCATATTCTTTGGGTCTTTCGGTAAAGTCACGTAGATAGGTTCAAAGAAAATAACAAAAAAAAACTACGACGTTTCGATCGCAATTCAAGCGATCGTCATCAGGAACCCAAGTCACCAGCTACTCAGTTGTGATCGAAACGTCAGTTTATTTTTTATTTTGTGTTACTTTCTTTGAACCTATCTACGTGACTTTACCGAAAGACCCAAAGAATAAGAACCACTCCATTCATAAATACCACAAGTTCATATTACCAGTCCACTCATAAATATTGCCAGCCTATTCATATATCACACAAGTCCATTCATAAATATTACCACTCATATTTGTTCACTAGGGGTTGTTCGGGGGCACCATAGGCGCCATAGGCGTCCCCGAACAACCATTTACGGCCTTCGGCCAGGAATGTCACGAAAAACATTGCACACGAACGACACATTCACGCAAGCACCCGATGCTCCGTTTGAAAATGAAACATTTTTAATTGTATTATGTTTTGAATTAGATAATTGTATTTCTTCATTAAAAGCTTATATCATTTTACATCTGGAATACTTAATTGAAAACGACATTTCGTGTGAATTTCCTCTCGTCGTTAAGTAGATGGCCTTGCTGGGGGTTTGGTTCGATGCGGACTTTCACCCGCCCCTCTATAGCCCCGCCAAGCGTTGGTTGGCTACTTGGTCCCGGTCACGTGACGCAATTCAACCAATCCGTGCTGCGTTAGTCACAGAATGACAGAATAACAGATCTTGGTGTTTATATTTGTTCATTGGGTTGGGCCACGTAATGATCTTGCCAAATCTGTGCCGTGAAACCCTTCACCAGCCGACACGGCCAAAACCAACAAAACTGTGACGTGTTTGTTCAAGCGCTTAACGACGTGCCCATTATCACTGATCTAGCTCACTCAGCAGTGAGTTAAGAGCCAGATTTAGCAGCGATTAGATCTGCGCAGCAGATGGATGCAACAACGACAACGGCGGTGATGATGATCGTTGTGATCTCATTGCTATCTCATCGCGTTCTCCCTCCCTCTCTCGATGCAGCAGCTACGTCGAGTTACGGTGTGCGATTTGCGGGCAGCCAAAATCGCGGAGGCAGCAACTTCATCAACGCCGCACGTAGCAAATCGCCTCTCCACCCCCCCACACCACCACCCTGTTCACACCTGGCACGAGGCACTGCTGACGAAGCGGTCACGAGACCGGGCGAGGCCGTGCTGCGTCATCCACCATCGGAAAGAACCCTCCTCCTCCGTACCTTGCGAGCGTCCCTCTTGGCGTCTCCCTCTTTGTCTCTCTTGTCACCGTCCTTCTTCCTCTCCTTCTCCCTCTTGCCCTTCTTCTCCTCCTCCTTGGGCGGCTCCGGCTTCTCGCGCTTGCCCTCCCTGTCCGGCCGCTTCTTGATCACCTTGAGCGCACGGTGGAAGTACTGCTTCTGCAGCAGCCTGGTGGGGCGGCGGAGTAGGAGGGGAAGGATGGGGGGGGGGGAGAGGAGGGGGAGTGAGAGGAGGATGGGGGAGGAGAGGAGGTGGGGGGAGGAGAGGGAGGAGGTGGGGGGTGATGAAGGAATCAGCACCACTGAGCGAGTATCAGTTCCGATATAAAGCAACGAGTCATTAATGATACAGAAATACACACAAACGTACACACGCACACAAAGGCAACGATCCCCCCCCCCCCTGTTGCCTTAAGCATGCACCTATGACTGGACGTGGCACCGGAGGAGGTGGTGTGGCCAACACCACATCTGGCCGCCTGTCTCCCCAGTCGTGAAGTTTACACGCACCAACAGGCACTCATTTAAGGCTCGGGCGACCTAGGGGAGGCCCAGAACTGGTTGAAATATTCACCGCTGTTATTGTCCGTGAACGGGAATCGGACTCTCGGATTACGGGGTTCGTAGCGCAGCACGATAACCACTACACTACCGCTCCCCCCACACACGGGCGCTCGCTAACACACACACACACGTGTTTGCATACCGGTTGCAATAGGCGACCACGGACTCTCGTGTGGTGAACAGGATCTCTGTCCCCTTCTTCCCTGTGGCCCAGTTCGACTCCAGGAGCGTTTCCACTGCCTTGGAAGCTTTCACAGCACAAAACAACAGAGACAAAGATTCCCAATGTAGCTTATAGCAGACTATTGGGGCAAGTGCTCTCAGCGGGCACCTATGAAGGCGGCGCAACACACGAGGGGGTGGGTGGCCAGCACCACGCCCCGCCGCTTTTGTCTCCCAATTCTGATATTTACACACTGCACCACGTACTCATTTAAGGCTGAGTCGACCTAGGGGGAGACCCAAGATCGATTCAAATATCACACTGTTATTGTGGTCGTGAGCGAGAATCGAACTGGGGGCCACCAGGTTCACAGCGCAATGCGCTAACCGCTGCTCCACCACCCCACACACACACGGCGATATTTAGTTGTTTTGGTTGTTGTTGTTGTTGTCTGTGTCGTGGGTTCGAATTAGGTGCCCACACACACACAGCTTGGACGCAACACTATTTATTAGAACGGTAAGTAATATAAAACTGTACATAAGGTGGTGACCACCTTCCTCAACTCACTAACACTCTGGAACACTATACAGCGTGACCCAGGCAGGCAACGGGCTGCCTGGTCCCGGACGACGACCCGGGGACTTGAGGTTCGATGATGTCGTCTTCACTTCGGGGTTCAACAGCCCCGCTCTGTCTTCACACCCTGCTTATAACCGCTCCGGCGTGGCCGGCTCTGCCCAGGCCACGCCTCCCTTCCCCCCCCCCCCACCTCTGGGAAGGTCCGGGTCCTCCACCACGTGACCCCCCAGGCACCCCCTTGGGGCCCCCAGCCCTCGTACGGGCCGACACAGTAGTGACGTCCTATGTCACTCCATCTGTACACGACCGTACAGACGCTCACCCACCAACACCGCGACCACCCCCACCAACCGCGATCCTCACGCCGGCTCGCACGCTCAAGCGAACGGTGGCGGGCGACTCACCCACAAAGTAGTCCACTGAGTGGCCCATCATGTTGGTGGACTTGGTGGGGCAGTTAAAGCGAAGGTACTTGGCAACAGCCGTCTCCTCCTTGTTGTCCTCGCCGCTCGCCTGCGTGCACGAAACAAAGACAAAGATCCCCCGTGTGTAGCTTTTATAGTGCGGATAAATGTCATCGCGTTTTTTTTTTATCCTTGCAAAAGCGTAACCAAGGGGCCGTCCATAAATGACGACACGCGCTTTTGGACGATTTTTTACCCCCCCCTCCCCCCAGTCACACGGCGTCATGACGTCACAAAGCTCTGCCCCCCCCCCCCCCCCCCCCCCCAAAATGCTTCAAATCGCTTTAAACTATTGTCATTGTAGTGCGTATTTAATGTGGCGCTGCACTCTGATGTAGTAGGAGAAAACAATTATTAAAAAGTCTATTTAATTAAGTAGAACGTGTTGTCTACAGTGAGGGAAAAAAGTATTTGATCCCCTGCTGATTTTGTACGTTTGCCCACAGACAAAGAAATGATCAGTCTATAATTTTAATGGTAGGTTTATTTGAACAGTGAGAGACAGAAAAACAAAAATATCCAGAAAAACGCATGTCAAAAATTTTATAAATTGATTTGCATTTTAATGAGGGAAATAAGTATTTGACCCCCTCTCAATCAGAAAGATTTCTGGCTCCCAGGTGTCTTATATACAGGTAACAAGCTGAGATTAGGAGCACACTCTTAAAGGGAGTGCTTCTAATCTCAGCTTGTTACCTGTATAAAAGACACCTGTCCACAGAAGCAATCAATCAATCAGATTCCAAATTCTCCACCATGCCCAAGACCAAAGAGCTCTCCAAGGATGTCAGGGACAAGATTGTAGACCTACACAAGGCTAGAATGGGCTACAAGACCATTTCCAAGCAGCTTGGTGAGAAGGTGACAACAGTTGGTGCGATTGGGTGAAAATGTTGTGGTCAGATGACACCAAAATGGAGCTCTTTGGCATCAACTCAACTCGCCGTGTTTGGAGGAGGAATGCTGCCTATGACCCCAAGAACACCACCCCCACCGTCAAACATGGAGGTGGAAACATTATGCTTTCAGGGTGTTTTTCTGCTAAGAGGACAGGACAACTTCACCGCATCAAAGGGACGATGGACAGGGCCATGTACCGTCAAATCTTGGGTGAGAACCTCCTTCCCTCAGCCAGGGCATTGAAAATGGGTCGTGGATGGGTATTCCAGCATGACAATGACCCAAACACACACGGCCAAGGCAACAAAGGAGTGGCTCAAGAAGAAGCACATTAAGGTCCTGGAGTGGCCTAGCCAGTCTCCAGACCTTAATCCCATAGAAAATCTGTGGAGGGAGCTGAAGGTTTGAGTTGCCAAACGTCAGCCTCGAAACCTTAATGACTTGGAGAAGATCTGCAAAGAGGAGTGGGACAAAATCCCTCCTGAGATGTGTGCAAACCTGGTGGACAACTACAAGAAACGTCTGACCTCTGTGATTGCCAACAAGGGTTTTGCCACCAAGTACTAAATCATATTTTGCAGAGGGGTCAAATACTTATTTCCCTCATAAAAATGCAAATCAATTTATAACATTTTTGACATGCGTTTTTCTGGATTTTTTTTGTTATTCTGTCTCTCACTGTTCAAATAAACCTACCATTAAAATTATAGACTGATCATTTCTTTGTCAGTGGGCAAACGTACAAAATCAGCAGGGGATCAAATACTTTTTCCCTCACTGTATATTGATTTAAAGTTGCGCATTTTGATGTGACGTCACATTTCTCAAACCCCCCCCCCCACCCCTCGTCACACATCGTCACAAATGTCTGACCCCCCCCCCCTAGGTGTGTGATGTCATTTATGGACAGCCCCCTAGCCGTCTCGGTGAAGTCTCCGACTCTAAAGCTACTATGGAGACCGCATGGTGAACCGGCAGCTTCCCTCCCTCCCTTAGTCCCACCACAAAGACAAATATCCCCCGTGTAGCCTTCACAGACTGTTGGGGCAAGTGCCGTTAGCGAGCACCTATGAAGGACTGAACGGCACACGAGGACGTGGGTGGCCAGCACCACGCCCGGCCGCATTTGTCTCCCCGGTGGCGATGTTTACTACACATCGCACCAGGTACTCATTTGAGGCTGAGTCGACCTAGGGGAAGCCCAGGACCGGTTCAGATGATCGTCATCGGTGTTGGCGGTTAACGAGAATCGAACTCGAGTCTCCAGGTTTGTAGCGCAGGGTGCTAGCCACTGCACAACCGGTCCTCACATATGTATGTGTATGCGCACAAGCGTGCATAAACACACACACACGTGCACAGAAAGGCGCACGTATGCTGTTAGTGAGCATCTGTGAAGGCCAAATAGCCACACGAGGGGGTGGGTGGCCAGCACCACAAACGGCCACCTTTATTTTGCCGAGTGTCAAAGTTTACGCACTGAACCAGGTCCTTATTTAAGGTTGGGTCGACCTAGGGGAGGCCCAGGGACCAGATTCAGACGTCCAGCACTGTCGCTGGCTGTGAGCGGGGATCGAACCCGGGTTGCCCGTTTCCCAGCGCACTACGCTACTGCTCCCCAAGCAAACAACAAAGACACACACACACAGGGGCACACACACAAGCACACACACAAGCACACGCAGTGGGGTACGTCACTCTTCCCCGTCTCCCTTACCAAACGACCAGGGTTCCCTTTCTCACTCAATCATTTCTGCGGGCGCTGGTGGACCGGAGCATGCAGTGCATGTACTTTGAACTTCTTTCGCACCGTACGTAGCCATCCGCGCTAATCGGAGGTGCGGGCGGGGGGGGGGCAATAAACGAAACACGGGTGGCACGTGACGTAGTCCCAGTCACGGCGAGGGGCATACTTGACATGGTGTGTTGGGTGGAGAAATATTTTCTCAACTCGCCGACTGTTATCAAGCCCTGGCGAGGCCACGGATGGCTCTTGCATTGTAGCAACACACCTGGGCTGCGTGTCCCGGGTGATCCGACATGACCCTGAAACTCTGTCAACGTGACTGCATTTGTTTATATGCAGGGTCGTTCATGGCATAGGAGATCTTAAAAAATCGACGGGCCAACTTTCCTTGCCCGTTTAGTAACGATTTCAGTGACGATCGCGCTGACCAACCGCACGGCATATTCCAACGCCGTTGGTCACGTGACAAGCACGCTGCATAAAGAACAAACGTTCACAAAACCTCACGGCACATTTTCAGTCCACGGCTGGACGAGGTGCTCGCCACACCGTGCGGCTCGTGAGACTTGGGCAACCATACTTCACCACAACGGTAAGTACAGGTTTGGCGAAGGTCGGCAAACCGATTACAATCGCCGTTTTCAAATAATTGTTCGCATGAGATCATCCCTCACTCTTATTAATTCCTTTGCCGTTCCGGGACGTCTGGAAGTTGCAGGGTGTGGCGTCTCCCGTTCACCGCCCGATCTTGGACCGCGCGAGCGTCTCGTTTCGTTTAGAGAGGCGCAGCTGCGCCGCTGTTTTTAAAGACACTATACCGTACTCACCGCAGACAAGCGTAGCGACACGACCACCGCACGCTACCAAAGCCGACACCATGCCACGCGCGCACACTCCCCGCGTGGCCTTCTACTTTCGATTCCATTCGGAAATGATTCCGTCATTAGAATGGAATCGGGAGAAAAACCCGATGAAATACCCGCATGTACGTCATCGGAATGGGAAAGGATTAATAATAATGATGATGTCAGGAGCACCATGACAGTGCTCTGGTGACATCACTGTCGTGCGACTGCTGTGCCATCAAAAGGGCAGACTCACCAAGAAACAACAAATCACGTTGGCGATGCAGCTGCTGTTGCTGCTGCTGTTGCTGTGTTGGCAGTGGTGCCCAAGCCCAAATATAAACGCAATCGTCAATAACAAACAGCGCGGCCTCGGCAGGAGAACTTTACCAATAAACTTTTGTGTTCCTCTTGGATCGTCTTCAACGGGAGCTGCTGTGACCCCCGCGTTACAGACGGGACACAGACAATGGAATGCATTGGCACTTTCAACGACAATAAAAAGCCACGAGCTCTCGTAGATTATACAACGGAGGCTATGGGGGCCCAGGCTCTACAACTTCACGCGCGTGTCTTATCTGCACAAGACAAGTGTGAATACACAGGTGACACAACGCAAGATACGGGCGAGACGCTTGCTCCATTACACCACGCAGATAAAGAGAGGCCACAGGGTGGACAAGAGTTGGCGTGGAGAGAGCACCTCATGAGCGCCGTTCCCAACTCCTATCCATTCCAGCTCTCACATGTGCGGCGAACAGGGCCGTGGGCCCAAACGTCAGCCGTTATATATTTTTTTTCGTTTACGGCCACACCACACACAGTATTACTGACGGATGTGTTGCGTAATTTTCGTTGTTACACGTGTGCTTGTGACGCCACTGCAAGCAGCGCTGGACGCTTTCCTCCGTGTCCAAGCGCTACTCCTCTGGTGATGTGCCTGTCAAAGCTGCTGCGGCTGTTGCATTTTAAATCTTGTCGATGCCGCGACGTCACTCGAGCCGTGTGCACGACGCCCCACCGGGCTCCCTGGACTCCCATGCGCACCAGATGTTCCAGCTCGAGAGATTATCCGTAACAGACTCGTCATTTGAGACCCAAACATTGCACCGCCTGGCTGTCTTTGACATTCCTCATCCTCCTCGAAGACACCGGTGTTGTAACCACCGACGGCGCAATCAGAGCACCGCCAGCAGGCCGATGCTGCACCACATCTCCATCGCGAATGGAAAGTAAAATATTTAAAATTCGCGGCGGTGCGACTGTGGCCACGCAATACAAACTCTGGAGCGTTGCAGTAAACCCACAGTGGCGTGCGCTCCCGACGAGGAGGAACAGCGGAACGACACGAACTCTCTCTCTCCCTCTCTCTCCCCTGAGAAACCCCCTTCGTCGTGGCCAGCAGACCTCGACATTGGCATCTAGCTCCTGAAAGTTTTGCTGGTGGCTGTCCCATGGCTCTGTGACTTTGGGGGACTGACATCCACTCACGGCACGTTGACATTATGTACACACGTTTATTTATTTGTCCCGTGTGTATCTGGTGCTCTAACTTGT